CTGCGGCATTCACTCGCAGGAAAACAACGAGACGGAAATACACGCTTCGCGTTATGTGACGTCAAAGCTTTAATGTTTTCAGCGAAGGCACCGTTTACGCTAGGATGCGATTGGAGCAGTTTAAAATTCAATTGCTCATGCAGAGGGCATGCACCATTCAGATATGGCACGTACGATGCGTTTCGAGGCAAAAACAATATTATCCAATTATTTTCTTGAACGAAATATTTGTGCGGACAATTGTTTTAAAGGACCTGTGCAACGATTTCAGTGCTTTGCTTAAATAATTTGGTAGTTAATGTCTCAACCTTTCTGAAGTAAAGAACAAAAAGCGGCTTTTGCCCGGATGTCCTAGTTTTTTGTGTTTTTTTTCGGATAGATTGCGTTATTAAAACTCCGTGTACACGAACTCAACTCTGTGACGTCACGGCGCGGTGGTGGCGCGTCGGTCGCACTTCCGGTCTGGTGCTGTGGGCAGAGGTCCCTATGCCAGACGTCTATTCCTGCGATGTTTCGAAAGGAACCAGACAAAAACCTGCCTTCTTGTCAAAACGCCGCGACTGGGGCCGTATCAGAAGTGTCGAAAAAGGTTTGAAGGTCAGTTTTCACGTGCTCGGTTCGTTCGAGAATCTGAATATGTGCTGTGAAAGGGAAAAGCAGACACCGTCGGACAACGATTGCTTAAGCGGGAAGCACTTTGGGTTGAATTCACGAATACTTGTGGCCATCAGATTTATTTGTTTTGTTCCAACATGAACGCCAGAAAACCGTCAAGTTGTGAGGACCACCTGCGGACTACGTTCAGTGCGTCTTCAAGTTCAAACGGCCACCTGATCGTTCGAATTGTCGTCTGCTCTTTCAAACGTTTTTGCTTGTCGTCTGCTCTCTCAGATGACGCCATCCCGACTAAATGTTGGCCCGGTACTTGCGATAAGAAGTAAGTGCAGGCCTCAAAAGACTTAAATTTGAAGGTTGGTAAGCAGGCTCGTATGTAAACAGTAGATACAAGGAGATATTGATCATTGTTACCAGTGACCATCACCGACTTGTTATGCCTAACTCACTTGGTCCGATTCTGCTTGCGATTTTCAGTATCGACGTCGTCCATCTCGGCTACGGTTCACGCTTTTGCAGCCTGAGCGGCGTCGCGACTAAAAATTGCGAGCGAAATGTCATCATGCGATTCAGGCTTTACGTACATACTGCGGCGTCCACGCGGAACGAATCGCCGCATGTCACATCATTCACGCGAAGTTTTGCGGTGTAATGAGCCTCGGTAATTTCACTGACGCCGCTCAAGATAGTCAGACATCGCCAGGAAGACGTAGAATCAACAATTCGAACGCGAAAAAGGGCAGGGGGACTCACACCGACGCCGACAACATCGCATTTCAATGGTTTGTTTATGGGCGACGGCGAGCTTCGTGCCCACACCCCCATCGCGCATGCGCGGCGCCGGTGGCGTCCGCTAGGGGCGCTCCGGTTTGTTTGTAAGCATGAGTTGGTGTATAATATAAGTTTTGTCGATGTACCAGGTTTTTGACGCATTTATATTTATGTTTGAACGACAAGATTTATAGAAAAATTACCTTTATCGAACAGGGTATTTGCACAGGTTGCTATCTTTTTACAAGTCCCTCTTTGACGTCACGCCGCGTAGTTCTGATGGCCGCCGCTCGCGGCTGCAGGTCGGAAAATATTATAATTTTTGCCTCATGATTACGCGGCGGAAGCGCAACATTTCCAAGGAAGGGGATGTGTTTTATGTCCTTTATAACAAGATAAACTGTGTCAAAAGTATAAGATGCAAATTCTTTCAACGTTAAAATCGTTGCACAACTCCTTTAAATCTATTTAGAGAACAGAGCAGCACAGAGGCGCCATCTCTCGTATAGGCCTGGAACACTTCTGATCTCCTTATAACTTAATTGAAGGTTTGGCCGTATTCATGAGATGAGACATATGTCCTATTTATCACAAATGGTCGCTTATAACATTGTCAAAATGATTTCGAGCAGACGGCGAAAGAATGATGCGTCAAATGTACGCGAAACGGAAATGTTTCAGGAGTCCCCGATAGATGGCGCCAGCGTAATCTCACGTTGTTGGTGTTCCCAAGCAGTTGGGACGCATTGAAATGCACTCAAACGCAAGTGTAGGAACCAGCCTTTAGAGAGTTCTGGAAGCCCGTTTTGGGATTCTGATACGATACAGCAAACACCACCGGTGACGTCAATTTTCCTGCTAAATTTAGCGCGACTCGATGATAAGTGTATCAGCGCCGCTTCCGTTTTTTTTATCCATCAAAGATTTATATTACTTGGCGAAGTTGACACTGTAATAAGCGCATATTTAATACAAAGAAAAGCTTTTGTTTTTATCATGGTTTTGCTTTTTAACAAAGTAGCAGAAGAAACGTCTAAGTCACCGCTGTGTTCGTCCTTCTATGTGCCCTCTCCTTTTTTCCCTGTTCGTAACATTCGGTTGCTGCTAATAGAGAGTTTTAGGGAACAGTTTTTGCACATCCGATACAGTACGATGGGCCCTGCGGTACGAACTCCAGCCCATCGTACCGTATCGGATGTGCAAAAATGGTTCCCTGAAACCGACGCGATGACAACAGGCGGGACCGAGGAGGGCGGAGAATGGAGAGCTCTAAGGAGACGCCATTCTGATCCTCTAACGTCAAGGCTCGTTTATCGAGTGAGTTGCATTACAGGAATCTGTGGACGCGTTTTATATGCTTTATTCTTCAAATCGCGGGCTGAAAGTTTGTGAGCAGGTCCACGAGGAGGTTCTGTTACCTTCCGCAATTAGGGTCTTAAATGGAGCTAGTGACCACCATTTTAGCCTTCAGAGGCCATTTATAGAAGTCTGCCTAAGCTTAGGTTGATCTATAATTCCAAAGTGCGCTCACTTTGGAATGTAAAATCACTAAAGAATGCAAAGGAGTAACTTAGAATTTAGAGGTAAATCTCGCTTTAAACCTATTTGTGGGAAAGGAACAATGTGGACAACTCTTGGGGTGTATGTTCGCCACACGTCGTAGCTTTCCTTTACATTTCGGATGTTTTGTCATTGGCGTTTAGATGGCACTCCATCCGGGCGTCTACACGGTCCTAGCCGCCCGCTGTTTTTTAACTGGGACTGCATAGACTGCAACACGAGCCACCAAATCTACACGGAATTCAAGACCAGAAACAGGAGTGCTGAGACGGTGGAACTGAACGAGACGCGCAGGTACACCGACCGCGAAGAGACGTTCAACTTCAGCCTGACCGTCTCGGACGGACGGATCACCGCGCCCAGCCAGATCATCCACGTCCACGTCCCTTCCGAGAGAGACATCAGGGTACGTCGTCAAGAGAGGGCGCAGACGGCACAATGAAATCAGGGTGCCTCCTTCGGCACCTCTGATATGTTCAGGTTCGAGAATTAGAGATGACTGTGACACGGAAAGGATGTCCGTATAGAGGATAAAGGGAGGGCATGACGTCATGAACTTAGCCTCCGCAGGCAACCGCCTCTCTCAAGGAATCCTAGAGGACAAGGCGCCAAAAGTGTATTCCGTCATAATGATCGTTGTCTTTGTACGTTCGCTGTCACCGACGAAACCAATCACGCAGAGGGAATGCAGCGTGATCCGGCGAGCTAGACAGCTCTAAGATACGTCTTTGGCGCATCGAACTGCAAGGAAGAGGAGCACGCCAATCAATGGGAACCACAGAGAGAGCTCGAAACGCGTGACGGCCGGCCAGCCAAGCGCGCGTCGTCATTATTGAGTTCGATGGGAAAACAAAAGCACGTGCGAGCGTTTGGTGGTAAACAAACGCACGAGGTGCGCAAGGATCGAGCAGACGAACTTTCACGCCGTATGTAGTTCCGCATTTTCGGCATCACGCAAAGAAAACCAACGCAGGAATAGATTGGAGCTGCGTTAGCTCTCGTCTGGGACACGTGTTCTCACTGATTGTTCTCAGCCGGTCGCTCACGTTCCTGTCCAATCAGTGACGAGCGTCAGTCTTCGTTAGGTGGCGCCGAAAATGCGAGCTCTGTTATCTACGTGGTGTCGGTAGCCACTTTTTTTTTTTTTTTTTTAATACATGCTTGCCTCCCTCTTCCATAAGTGCTGTGAATCTCGGGAAGAGTCAGAACGAGGCACGGGTCATTTTTATACTTTGTTTCCACGTAATTCCAGACGCAGCCGATACTAGGAGGTAAAGGGACGAAACAAGCAGCGTCAAAAGTTTAGATCGATGGATCTTTTCAGTTTATGACTGGTTCAGAAATGATAAAACACGTAGGCAACCACGACCAACACCACGATGATGCGCTTTTGACGCTCTCTGATTGGTCCTGTCAGCTCGTAGCGTCCGCTGCGTCTAGACGTAAGGTGAAACTATTTTTATTTTATGGCGGGTTCTGGGTTGCGAAGTGGTGGTTGCCATGTGGGCACTGTGAGTGACGAAGGAGCTGAGCGCTTGTTGAGAGCGTGGAGTGGCAGTGGGTAGCTTGTGGCCGTCTGCTTCTCGTTCTATCGCTCTTTATTTGTCGGCAGCTACATGTGAAACTCACGAAGCGGAACGTTTTGGCGCTCCTGTGTCCGTGCGTCCCAGCTCGTTTCTGAAGTGGGAAAATATTTTGCATCGAAACTTGTCTGTTAAGAGAAGTAAAGCGAATTTGGACAAGAAACGTGTTTAGATACTTAGATGTAAAAAGAACTGTCTCTGTAGAATATTGCGCCGTCATTTGGACCTGGAAGAATATTTTCACCTTATGATTAATAACGTAAAATGTACGATAGTTACTAACATATCTGCGATAATACTTCATCGAAATAAAATTCCGTATCGTGACGCAACCGGGTTCCATTATAAGCTTAGCGAAAGGATTCATTCTTAATTATAGTGTAGGCATTAGAGTGGAGAATGGCGTTATTGGCGCCGTAAGAGCGAGGGCTCAACGTTTTCTTCTCTCATATTCAACCGTGCGCTCTGCAGGTGGTGTGGACATGCCCGTGCTGCGAGTACGGCATCTTCACCATCGAAGAACTCATCCTGGAAGTCAGGCTCTGGCGGTCCGAGACGTTTAAGCGACGTTTGCCGTACATTCACAGAACCGTCACCTTTGCGAACCAACGCACGCTCGTGCCGTTGACCGAACAAAAAGGCGCCGTCCTCGTCTTACCGTCGATGGTGGGCTTTCCGGGATCGGCAACGTAAGGCAGTTTCCTCGACCGAGTACGCGCTGACTTGTACGTAACGCTTTACGAGTAACGCGTAGCTTGTACTTTTTTTTTTTTCGTGGCAATGAAGTATATACGATTTAGTGTTTTTTAAGAGGAGGAACGAGTAACGTATCTTCGTTACTTTTGATGATGAGCAAGTAACGGTATTTATTTACTTCTGGAGAGGAACGTGTACATATCAAGAACCCAAGCTACTTCTGATGCCAGCTCGCGACGGTAATTTGCCACGACGAGAAAACACTATACTATAAGAAACTGTGTTTTAGACTCCGTGTATTTTGTTGTCTTTCGTCTTTTCCCCATTCTCGGGTGTTTGTTTTAAATTATGTTAAACCTTGATTACCTCGCTTGCATCCAAACTTTTTGAGCTGCTTAGTTCCTTTTTGAGTGACTAACGAGTAACGGTCTCAGTTAATTAATTTTAGTAATATGTTCATGTCTGAGTACGTGTTCCAATAGGCGGGGGAAGTTGGACCGTTCGTTTCGAATACACGTTTCGTTACAAGAATTGTTCCGAATCCGCGGGCAGTTCTCAAGCAGCGGCGAGTGCTTGAACTACGGTTGGCGTCCGGAAGGTGTTTTGAGCAACCTCTCCTGCCACCTCTGCGACCCAAATGGTTTGCGGAGGAGGCGGGAGAGGCAGCGCATTTCCTCCCGTCCTGATGCCAATCGCACTTCTAACTTTCTCCGCTTGGTGTCATCTTTATCTGGAAAAAGGTTCCTTTGGCCTGGTCACGCCCGCTGGATTACTGCCGCTGTACAAGGAGTTGCGTAGCTAAATAGTGATCGAGCTGAGATTCCTCAGTTTGTCGCTGAAGGTGCGGCCTTAAGGGCAACGAGAGTCACGTGACGGTGGCGCCGCGCGTCGATACTCCGTGTCACTTGAAGTACAGAGCGGTGAAAGAGAGTTTCTGCTTTTAGTTATTTATCCTTGATGTACCGATTTCACCGAGTGTTCCAAGCATGCGTGACGCTGCTCTAACCGCTCATTCACACTGGAAGCGGATCCGCGTTCGCAAAGCGGTTACGAACGCGGTTGTATAAAGATCCCGTACAATTGCACGCGCACTCGATGACACCAAGTGCGCGTGCAATTGTACGGGATCTTTATACAACCGCGTTCGCAACCGCTTTGCGAACGCGGATCCGCTTCCAGTGTGAATGAGCGGTAACTGTTGTTCACACGCGGCAGGTGGCTGTGCAAGGGACAGCTCGTGCCGTCTCGTGTTCTGCTCGCGCAGACCTGCGGTGGGTTTGTCGCGCGTGCAGGAAGACTACAGTTCCCACGATCCACGCCGGCAGCGGTGGTGTAACAAAACATCCCGGGGATATCGGTCTATCAGCGTAACGGTTACATTACTGTTTCATTCTGACATTTATCGCGTACTAATATTTCTTTCGCACTTTGAAGTCAAATTTGGGGGTTTTCACGTGCCAAACCAACAAAGGGCATCTGGCACGCCCCAGCGGAGGACTGGGGATTAATCTGGACCACTAGGGGATCTTTTAACGTGCAACCGAAATCTCGGTTACACGGCGCCTTCTGCGCAAAAGAGCATTCTACCTCAGGAAGACCATCCCTCACCCCGCCGTCCACCAGGTATTTGGATTCAACTCTGCCAGCTGGACTGCCAACTACAGAGTCACGCAGATAGCACGCAGTGAGCTCTCGCAGGAAATCCTTGTCATGCAGAGGTCACTTCCCGGTCTCATGACGGGCATCTTCGGTGCCCGCTTTACAGTTCACCCTTCGTACATATTTCTAACCAAGTCAGGACAAGACCTCCTGGATTCATCTTGGAAGTTCGTAATTGCGACTGCATCCACAGAAAAACGAGCGAACCAGTGTCCCAAGCTTCAGCCTCCGCTAAATCTCTCGGGCTCGAAACTATCACCGCAAGCCGAGGCGCTGCTCTGAAGGGGACCCAAATTCGCCCCCCCCCCCCCCCCCCTGTCACACCGTCAAGAGTGGATCAGCTCGCAGCGGTATACCAGATCGCGTCGAGAATTCCGGAGCCTGCCCGACAAGAGTTCCTCGGCGTTGGTTCCCGTTTGGTGTGCATGCATGGAGCAGCCCACCCAACCAAACCAGAATTCCCCCAGGTGGTGAATGAACTCAGGGGGTCTGACCTGAGGCTTTTGCAGGCAGGTGGTGATGAACGAGTCTAACTTCGGTGAAAAGGTTGAACTCGCCATCAAGAAAAACTTCGTCCTCGTTAACAAAAGACCGTCCGGCACCCTCCGTTCGGAAGTCAAAGACATCTGCAGGTCGAACAACCTTTCGTCGCTTATCACGAGAGTGTCGGCCCCTGCGAACCAATATCTAAAAGTTGTTTTCACCGCCAAGACCCACAAACCGGAGATCCCGCTAAAGGTGTATCCACACGACGGACCAAATTGCTGTTTTGGTCCGCGGGCCGCGCATCACGTGATCTTACGTCACCGCTTTTCGAGGTCCGCCGGCGGTCCGCGGCCCGCGCTTGTGAGAAATGCCAAGCCAGTTTTCTCGCCCGGACCTTGGCGGCGGACCGCGGCGTTTTTAGTATAATTGAAGTGCTAAGTCTGGCAACAAGCTGACTTTTGTTTGGATTGGAATCCAAATCCAAAGTCGTGTTCTTTTGGCGCCAACTGTTGAAGACGAAGACGACAAACCTTTTGTTGTGCGACGATGGCGGCATGGTGCAACGATGCAACTTTTTACTTCATTGCGCTCGTGGAGCGATTTCCCGCTCTGTGGGACAATAGATGCATGCCCTTTCCGGTTCACTTAAGTCCTCCTCGTCTTCAATAGTCAACGCCAAAGCCACCGCGGCCAAAAGTCTCTTTCGTTCAACCTCCATCTTGGCTCCTTACAAATAGCCTCAAAGCAACTCGTTGCACGCGTTTGGCGGAGCTGTGAGGTCGAGGGTTAGACCGGCCCGTTCACTCTGTCGTCTGCTCTTTTGGTCCGCCGTGTGGATGCTCATTGCAGCCGGGCGGCCCGCGGGCCGCGCATCACGTGATCTATCGGTCCGCGGCCCGGTCCGTCGTGTGGATACACCTTAAGGAGCATCGTATCAGAAAATGGATGCTGGCAGAAGCCTCTGGCTCTCTACCTGCAGAAGCACCTGGCAGCCGTCCCCCTTAACCAGCCTTTCCGCGTGGGCAGCTCTCAGGAACTCCTCCCAGCCCTCCAGCTTCTCCACACATCAGGCCCAGGTACCACCTTCTTCTCCCTAGACATCACCGACATGTACTACAGCCTCGACTTCAACATCCTCCTGGATGCGGTAGAAAAAGCCATCACCACACAGGGTATCGTCAAATTCCAAAACTCTTCCGGCATCCCCCTCAGCGCGTTCCTGCAATTAATCAGGGTATATCTTCGGTCGACCATGGTGGAGCATGACGGGAAAATATATTTACAAAAATCGGGTGTCTGCATCGGGTCCTGCCTGGCACCTTCGCTCAGCGAAGTCTACCTTTCCTTCGTGGATCAGGCCGTGAAGGAGCAACTGGACAGCGTCGCCCCAGGAACCCAGGTGTTCAGATATGTGGATGACTATCTGGTGCTCCACGACTCCGGCGCGCCCACCTCCGCCATCCAGAAAGCCTTCACGGATAACGCAAATGGCCTGAGCTTCACCAGGGAGGACCCCTTGGCGGAGGGTCTCCAGTTCCTGGACGTACGCCTTGTGGCCACCCAGGGAGGCACTTGCTGGCGCTTCCAGCAGCGGACGCAGAAGCCGGTGCTACCATTTACTAGCCACCATTCAAAGACAGTAAAAGCAGGCATCGCAAAAAGTCTCATCTCCTCCACCTGCACAAAGTCCTGTCAACACCTCTCCTCATCTAGCCTGGAGGGACAGCTCAGCCGCCTCACAAACGCCGGATACCCGCGCGACCTGCTGGCCTCCACGCTCAGAAAACTAATAGTTGAAAAAGCCACCGCTCGGAAGCCTGCCCGGCAGAGGTATACAACCATCCCCTATTTCCACAACACTGCCCACCGACTAAAAACAGTGGCTCGACGTTTCGACATTGACGTTGCGTTTTCGTGCCCCTTCAAGTTGAGCGCCATGTGCCGCCTGGTAAACTCTCCCCCTCCCCCCAAGATCAGCTGCGCCAAGAGGCATGCGGCCCCCTTTGTTCCCTGCGCGGTCGGACGGGTGTATTCAGTGCCCTTCTCGTGCGGGGCAGAGTACATCGGACAGACGGGCCGCTGCCTCAACGACCGCCTGCACGAACATCAGAGAGAAATCGAAAAAAACGACGAAGACTCCCAACACCCCATGGTCCATCACCTCAAGGCTTGCGCTCCATGTGCCCCCGAGTTCCCGTCCGCGCGTGTTCTGGGGGCCAACAAGAACCGCTACGGGCGCGAGATCGTGGAGGCGTTCGCCATAAAAGAGGCGCCGAAGAACATTTCCTCGGCCTCGTTGTCGCTGTCCGAGAGAGAGGTGACATTCCTGAGACCGGAGTTGACGGCCTTGGCGGGCCGGGCGAGCGCCCCTTGCTCCTGAGAGGGAAATCGGGATGCTTCCTTCCTTCCTCTCCTTTCCGCTGTCTCTGCGCTTCCTTTCCCCCAGTTTTTCTCCAGGGTCCTTGTCTTGCCTCCCCCCCCCCCCTTCGCCCTCCTTCCCCTTCCCCCTCCTTTTGTGAAGCTCCGAAGGCGAAGCGTCCGGCAATAAATTCATTTGTTTGTTGGAAGTTGAAAGATGTGTTGTCCCGTCCCGTTTTTACGTATATAACTCTTTCTAAACCTACATCGTTACCAACGCGCTCACTAAGAAGCATTAGTCAGATTGCGGTTAACTCGGCCGGGATTCGAACCGGCCACCTGGGCATCCATAGGCCGACGCTTTGCCTCGGAGCCACCCATATTTTCGGTCCCTAAACGATTCGATGTAGTTCGGTTGATAAGTGTGCAATTATCTTTATTAATAATATATGCGTATGAGTGCTTAAACGGGCACAGATAACCGTTTTGATACAAGCTTTGTTCTGAATGTGCCACCCACCGCCCACTCATTTTTTTTTTTTTTTTCAGGTTTACAGCCACGCTCTTGAATGCAAGCTTAGATTTCTCCGTCTTCATGTTCGCGATGAAAAGCGCGTTTCAGAAGCGCCACCTGTTTGACATTCCCAACAAGCCGCCCTACCCGGGCCAATGCACCGTTGATCCTCCTGGTGGGGTGGCCGTGAGGGACCTCTTCACGTTCAGGTGCACGGGATTTACCGACCCCGAGAGGCGTCCCCTGCTATACGAGTTCTACTTCTGCTTCCGCCACCCGAATCAGCTGGCCTCGCCAGCCGGGCAGGGGATAGATCCGCGACGCCAGTGCAACCTGATGCAGTCTGCGCGGGACCAGCAAGTCTTCCAGGGCGTCCTGCCGTTGGGCAATCTGAAACAGAACGCAAGAGTCTCCGTGCTGATCTACGTCAGCGACAACGCTGGCCAATTTATCCGGGTTGTGGTTCCGGTGGACCTGGTTCCTCTGACGTGCTCCAGCTTCCGGCTAATGACTGTCGACCGGTATGCCCTTACGGCCACTGGGGCCAGCCAGGTGAGGAAACCCTAAAATTACGTCCAATCAGAAGCACACTTTCCTTTTTTACACTAGCAGAGCCCCAATTAGGGCTGCTATTTGTGCCTTTCCATGCCTGAGACAGGGGCAGATCTATGGTTCAGTCTTGGGTGTCTGTAGAGAGATCTGTTGTTACGGACACGGGCGAAGAATTCCCTAGCTCTATTTTGGTGACCTAGTAATGGCTATCTCACATTTTCTTTCTTTAAAAAAAAACTAGTGTATATTAATATTTTCAAAAAAAGAAAAAAAGAAAGCCGCCCTTGAGAGGCTAAAGGGGTATTCACACCGAGGGAGGAATCCCGTAGATTTCTCTACGGCGCGCTCATCACGAGACGAACACGCCAGGCTTTTGCACATGGCAAGAACCTGACATTTTCATCGCGGGATACGCGCGCCGAGGGAGAAATCTCCGGAATTTCTCCCTAGTATGAATACCCCTCAAAGAAGGAAGAGAATGTATACCCTCCGGCGCCCTCCCCCCATCCCCTTAAATCCGTCCCTGGCCCGAGGCCTCTAATCGCTGCGATGAACATCATCAACCCTTCTTTGTCGACATGAACATGCTCATGCCTTCCAAGGTACCGTCGTGCACGACGGTACCTTGGAAGGCATGAGCATGTAAGAAGGCATGATCATGTAAAAAGGCATGAGCATGTAAGCATTCTTGTAAGAAATTAGTGATGGAGTCGGCCGACAGGAATGCGCCCGAAATAAACTGAACGGTAAGTTGGGCTCTATAGGCGTCGTCACCCACAAACGTGTAGAAATGATGGTGGGCCAAGAAGTTGGTAAATTTGTGGAATCAATAGGCACGGGAAGATACCTCCACAGCTTGTAGTAAAAAATATTCTCGCTCGTAGTACTTCTTTTTACAGCGCGGCTGTTAAGGGCTAGTTTACCCAGTTTCGTGCCCGTCACCAAATAAATGTCGACACAAAGCTTTGGACAGCTACCGCCATCTATGAGCGACGGCGGCAACCTTTCGAGCCTTTCCATCTCTGCTTTTCACCAGAGCGGGAAGGCTAAATTTCTCTAGGCGTCGTCCAAGAAGTCCTCCTTGAGGTCGTCCTAGACGTCGTCCTTGAGGTCGTCTTCGAGGTCGTCCGGGAGGTTGTCTTCGAGGTCGTCCTAAAACATCCTTGAGGTCGTCCTCCAGGTACAGGCCTTCGTTCCCTCTCCCATTTTGAGTGCGCGCGGGCTCTCCTCCTCTCCCCGGAAATGGAAAGAGGAGGAGAGCCCGCGCACAGCTTTGCTGCGCTCAAGATGAGAGAGGGAACGCGTGCCTGTACCTTCCACTGCATTGCCAAGAAAAGTTGTCGCGGAGTATACTCTTTCTTCTTCGCTAAAATGCAAAGACTGAAAGGTTTTGTTTTTTTTTCGTTGTTAAGAACTAGTTGATTGAAGTGGATGTAGGCACTGATCATGGGAACGTCGTCTTTTCGGAGGCTCGCGTTAAGACCTCGGTAATCGAACGAAAGGGGAAACTACGACGAACGTTTTTGCACATTGCAATTGAATTGTCGTTTTTCTGAATTGCAAGTACTACAAAGCGGCCGCTTTCACGAATGGTGCGTTGGGACGCCGTCTGCTCTTGTGTGCTATCAACAATCCGCTTTCCAAAGACGTTCCTATGCCGACAATTATCGCGTTCATTTAGGCTTAGAAGTGCCCAGAATCGAAACACTATCTAAAAAATGCGGCGATGTCATTGCCCATGCTTTGCGGTTTAAGTGAGGTAAGGCAAAGCGAAAGCCTCCTGCACCATTCGTTGCTGACTAACGCGCCCGATATTGCAACCACAACGACATGTTAGTTCCAAAGCGAGCGGCACTCACTCACTGGGGCACCGCCATGTTTCCCCGCATCCCTACCGAGCCAGTCACGTGATCTCAAAATCCCTCTTCTAGGTACTGCGGCTAACTTTAGCCGCGGTTAGTGCTTCGAGCAAACGGGCTCTGGTGGTTAGCAAGAACATCGACATGGTTCCACATTTTGCGGGTGCGGTTCGGATATGAATACAAAGTATGCGGATGCGGATCGGATATGGATACAATAATGTAAAACGTTTGCGGACGCGGTTCGGATGTGGATACAAAGTCTGCGGATGTGGACCGGATGCGGATACTCAATCTGTTATCCGCGCAGGGCTCTACTCTTTACCCTGTTCTTCACGACTACTCTCTGGGCCCGAAATGAAGATCCTACGTTGGCCCAATGAACACATACACATCCCAATTCATTCAAATCGAGTGCGCACTTACGCGCCTTTGGGGCATGAAGTTTGACGGCCTCAAGCATTATATGGCCTGAAACCATATTAACACAAATGCATTGGGTGGAATCGTATCCTAAAGATATAACAAAAGCATAATCCCCCCCCCCCCCCCCCCGCCTTTTCTCTTCCCCACCCTCGCCACCACTGACCAAACAAGATTGTGGAATACTGCAGCAGCTTCAAAGCGACAGAGCTCTCGTTTCGGCTAAGGTCACTGTATCCTAAGAAAGTACCGTCAAGGTCCGCGAATGGTGGCCATTTTGGTCCATGGGATAAGAAGTTTCTCATTGTCCTTTCCAGCAGTCGTTATCAGTTTCAAATGCGCGTTGACGGGTTTTTTTTATCGGGAGATTTCTTGTGCACAGAAAGTTTGCTTGATTAGAGATTGATTATGTTATCCACACACCGGTCACTTTTGTATAGTCACTGAATACACAACTGAAGTTACATTTCTTTTGCGTGTTTTGACTCGCGTGGACCACAAAACAAGTGCACAGCAACGCACCGCCACTTCATCCGGCGTCGGAGCTGGCCGACATTGAAAAATAAATTTCCGCTCATGAAATATACTCCGCGGCATATAATTGTAAGATTGGAGGGGAAGCAGATTGATGAGTTGACGGTGCATACAGCACCAAAGACGCTAAGATTGGCGAGGAACGCTATCAGTGCAATGACGCGCCATCGCAATCTAGGCGGGGCCGGTTCAGAATGACCTCGGAAGCTCCGAAGATTAGAGTGGGCCAGAACTGCCAATGCTATGGCATCCGATAGCGCCCGACCAATCGCTTTTCGAGATGTTGGTTGTCCCTATGCGCTACACCTTTTTGTGTCCTGCTTTAGTTGCGTTGGAGTGCTACTGCAACCACTTGCGTCTTGTAAACGACTGCGTCGAGCTGGTTACTATGGCAACCCTTACGACGATGCAATGAGGAGGCGCTGTGCTGCAGGACGCAACGCAGCGCAACGCAGTCAACGGAACTGTGTGAACGAGCCTTGACACTTAAAGACAAAGGTGGTAATGAGTCCTGAGCAACTTATTATCATTTCGCAGCCACTCAGGTTGCGAGCCCTGACCAATAAGAATGCCGAGTTACAAATCACGACACAAAAGGATTAATATGATAAGCCAAGCCCCGTGATTCTTCAGATGTCAGTGATTATAGCAACGGTGCTACTTTGCCAGGATCCAATGACTGAAGAAGATCCGTCGGGTCATCATGGCATGCCCGAAAGATTTCTCCTCAAAAACACGCCGCCATTACTAACATAGGCGTTTGGCACTTCGCTGTTCAGGACGCTCACTCTCGAGTGACAAATATAAGTCCTATTGGGAAAACAGGCATACTGCGCACCTCCGACCAGTTCACGTTTTCTCTAATTTCAGGATGATCTCGCTCTGCTGCGCTTACCCTTAAGCTGAGACTGCAGTAAAAGCTACAAGCGCTAGCTGGCTTGTGTTTCTGGCTTTGGGACGTGCCTTTCTATAGCGCAAGCGCTCGTTCTGCGCAACAAGTTTCAAAGCCGCGATCTCATATACTTTCGCGCTTGTTGCATTAGCTGCAGCCTCAGCCTGAGGATGAATGGAGTAGAACGCGCTGCCATATCGCTCACATTCAAAAACCGAATATATTCTACGAAGTTAATGAGTGCCGCCAGCGTGTAGCACGATAAGATACTCTTGAGCTAAAAAAAATAAATAAATAAATGGCGGAGCGTGGATCGTAGCGAATGCTGGTGACACCTGTATATGACCAAGCGCGTTCTAATTAATTGTAATGCAATGAATAACCCTTGATTTTATGCTACTCCGGCTGTAGTAAGCCTACGGTGTATGCAAGTGGAGTTCCATATCATGGTGCTTCAAAAAAGTATTCCTTTAGCTAAATATTTTTCATATCGCTGTCTTTAGCGGTTTCTATTGCTGCCCATATTACTTTTTATACTTATGGACCTAGCACCGGTTAGTTGGCGCGAGTGCAGATTCTTTTTCTTTTTTTGCACGTCATTGCATGGGATTGTGTCAGTTACATTTAGGAAGCCACCCACAATGAAAATACTTCGGCGATGTGCATTCACTCAGCACAGCTGATAAAGGTAAAAAAAAAAAAAAAAAACAATAAAAAACAGAGACGCTTTTTGTCATTTTATTTTTCTGTCTCTTCTATTTATCTTTAAGTTTCTTTCCCAGGTCTAGAGCCTGGCAGTTGCGTTTTATTGCGTTTGACTGCGTTGCGGCTGCGAGAAACCAGGACATCCCTGCTGCTTATATTGCGTGCCAAGATCATTCCTTAACTTGGATTCCTCGGTTCAAACGAAGCACAGATGTGGAGGTGACTCGCTTTCAGTTCTCGGCGCAACGCAGCCAAACGCACTCAAACCCAAGTGTCTTAACCGGCCTTAAAGAGACTCTAACACCCCTCCCCCCCCCCCCGCCCCCCCCCCCCCCCCCCCCCCAGAAAAAAAAAAAAAATCATGTCAGGCGTTAAATTGGTGTGTCAGGATATCACAAAAGAATTGTTTCACTTTAGAGTTGCCTAGATTTTTTTAATAAAAAATGGAAATACGACTGACGAAAATAATCCCTAGAGAGGGGGAACAAGGGGGACAAAGGACAAACATAAATCTCCAAACACAGCTAGGTGACTGGTGAACGACCGAAAAAATCCGCCTGGTCCGGGTATCGAACCCGGGACCTCCCCATTACAAGTGGAGCGCTCTACCAACTGAGCTAACCAGGGGTTAGACGTCAGTAGAGCAAGCGGGTTTTATCAGTTGCCACCAGTCTAACACCAACATGGGTGAAGCTTGATACCCGGACCAAGCGGATTTTTTCGGTCGTTCACCAGTCACCTAGCTGAGTTTGGAGATTTATGTTTGTCCTTTGTCCCCCTTGTTCCCCCTCTCCAGGGATTACTTTCGTCATTCTTGTCCAGCTCGCTTGCACCTTTGCATTTTAATTGCATTTTAATTATAAAGAAATACGAAGCCAATTCAAAGTTCCCGCCAGTGCACTGTGACGTAACAGTGTACCGCAAGACACCGGGGCGGTCAGAAGGGAGGCATCGCCGGAAGTCACGTGAGTTGTATAACTCCTCGTGCTTACCGCGACCGCGGGTAATATCGTTTTTATATTTTTGTTATTCTCCGCACCTGCGCGAGCAATCCAAGCATACAAGGTTTCTTTATTTACTTTTCATCGTTTAATGTTGCTATAAAGGTAGAAGAAGAGGAGTCAGTGAACCTAGTAAACAAGTTCTGATCATGTTCTAGACAAAACACGTACTTTATACTCGACGTTTACTTGTACTTGGTACACTCACCAGTTCATATTCTCTAGACGGCAGGCATCTTCAGCCTGGAGTGTATCCGATGATTCGACGACCTCGGTGTCTGAACCTTCAGCAATGCGATCGGACGTGTCGTATGCTACACATCCTAATTTCTGTGGGCGTTCTAATTTTTATTTTCAAAACTCGATAGCTTGTTTTGTGCCTAGTATCGCTTTGTACTATCGGACTGATGGCATGCACTCGTTCACTGGCTTGCACTCGCAACGCTTTCGTCATTGACCTCCATCACGTCGATCTACTGACTCTTGGTCCTCAATGTCTACAGCGCGCAAACTAACAAACGGTGCAGTGATAAAAAGCCAGTGGAACTGAAACTTCGTTTTCTACAATCGCTCGTGGAGAAAACAAAACAAAAAAAGTCTTAAGCACGGTCGTGGGGAGCACGAGGAGTGACACTCACGTGACTTCCGGCGAGCACAATTTAGTGACGTAAGTCAATGCGTCCCTTCTGACCGCCCCGACACCTTGCGGTACACTGTTACGTCACAGGGCACTGGCGGGTGCTTTGAATTTTTTTGGCGTGTCAGAGGCCCTTTAAGAGTTTAAACATCTTGATGTATATGCACCAGCTCGCCGGCACCGAATTTTGTATAACAGCATCTTTATTTTTTGTTTAATAAAAATGAAAACAAGATTGCAGATTTGACGTTCATTCGCGGAAAAAATACAGGACGATAAAAATAAGCAATCTCAGCGTTTTAGCAGTATTAACTCTATATGGGACTCCTCTAGCGCAAGCTTTCTGACTTTAATAACACTTCGTCTTACGCGCAGCAAAGCTCGGTGGTATAGGCAACGGACTTGTGCTGGAGGCGAAGCCTCTACCGTGTTCTTAAAGGCCGACGACCAGTTCGCGCTTTCCTCTTTCCCCCCGCTTCCTTCTCTCCTCCTTCTACCCTAGCCACCGTTGCCTGTTTCCTCCTTCCCCATGGTGAGGAGGACCTTTTGCCTTGCAGAATCTCGAGTCTGGTCTTCGGCCTTTAACCTGTCACCGAATATACGGTATTGTTGGAACAAATACAACTTTGGCCGAAGCTCAAATTGTAAGCTGCCTAGATTAAATTAGCTCTCACGTACGTAGGTGCACCTATTAAATCAGGTGCTTATTTTGTACAGGTTATGACCTACATGCGGACCACCTCCAAGATGATGAACTCGGAGTTCTTCGACAGTTGCAACACGGGCCCGAACTTGCAGACAGAGGAAACGCAACGCAGGGGCTACCTGGAATACCTCAGGAAGACAGACACCAGTACCGAGGGTGATCTACGCACCCAGGCTGAGGCCTTCCGGGTATACACCCTTCGCTGACATAAGTTACAACGCTGCATGTAAGAACGCGGTTAAGCACATGTTGGTGTAGGCACTGTAAACTTAGGAAGCGCAGAGCGCGACAAGTTTCGAGCATTGATCGTATTATTCATCCGCAGCCACTAGATTGGTGGTAGCCGATAAAAAAGCCGAATAACGAATCACAAAGAAAAAAGCATAAACTTAACAATTACAAAGAAATCACCAAGCAAAAAGCACGAACTTAACTTAGCCCTGCGTTTCTTCAACTGTCAGTAACTGTGGCTACCAAGAAACGGCTTGAACAAAGGAATAGAGATAGACTACCCTGAGGTATTCCCGCGTATAGTGTAATGCTCGAATGAGCGCCTGGAAAGAAAGTCACTAAGATATACACTAAATGCAGTTGAAGAAGAGGAGAAAAAAACGGTTTCCACGGGAAATTAACATTTCCCATTTAACATGGAGCACGCTGTTTAACATGCTTATGCCAAAGTAAATGTCCCATTGAGGAATAATGTTTTTTTTATAAAAAAAAAAAAGCTTTTTTTTCTGATATCAGCTTTCTCTCTCCTAGCAGAAGCTGATGAGCGCTGAGAACTGTTCTGCTGGCCTGTTTATATTAGCTCTAAATCCCCTCGCCCCGAGCACGTTTTCTTGTCCAGGCGCCGCTTGCTTCTCATTGGTCCGCACGATCTCCCTACTCTGTTAAGGACGAGTGGAGAATGAGAACCTGCAAATACTATACTTCGTTTCACATTAAGTTGGGACGCAGCCGACGCTGCGAGCTCATGAGACAGATCAAACAGCATCAAAGACAGATCGTCATGGCGTTCGTCATGTTTCTTTTCGTGTTTTATCATCGCTGAAACATTCCTAAAAAAGGCTGAGTAACTTGCGGTTTTGACACTGTTTGGTCGGATCCAGTAGCTTGTATACGCGCTAATGAAACTGCGGCTGGACTTAAGCTGAAACGGAGCATATACCCCTCTCTAACTTGAGACACCTAATAGGCTACGTTTCGTAGCAACGACCCGGCAGCCATGTTGCTGCTTAACATATTTGCTGCCGCTGATATGACCCTTGTTCTAAAATCGCCGGAAGCGCTTTCTCCTCGTCCAGAAATGCGGGAAAAAAAATCTATTTGCGACAAAGCAAAATGATATTGCTTGATCTTCCTGGTGTTGTATCTGTCGACCTAGGAAGTCTAATTTCTGAATAGCAACAATCGCCACTGGAGCCCGCTCTGCCCTAAGCGTTAAATTGACGGCGCCTAGAAGTAAATCGACCGTTTTTTAAAACTGCGCGCCATCTTGGAATTGTAGCACCAATTATCCGAATTTCGCCATTGTTTGGGGGGAGCACGCACTCTGGGCATGTATTGGGCAAGAGGGTTGCGTCGATGTTTCACTTGAGCTCGGCCCAGCACGCGTCGGAAACTAGTGGATGCTTCGGTGTTCGACGAGGGCCTTGATCCAGTCGCAGGCTTCGCACCCTAGAAACTGCTACCGCCAATATTGCTGAATGGGGTTTTGATCAGGGTCTATCGAGAAATGAAGTGCCGCTGATACTCTACAGTTCAGTGGCCATCTATACTCAGAACGTACCACCACCGGTTTGGTGGCCCTGAAAATTTGCGGAGGTCCCGTCTCAAGGTTGAACCGTGTCGGTTTCTGCGCAGGACATCGTGTCCCAAAACCGGGTTAACCTGAGCAGGACGTTCAAGGACGAAGCCGTCACCTTGCTCAGCGGCTATGCCCAGAAGTTCGGAGAACTGACGAATGCCAACGATAGTGACCGGGTTCCCGAGAAGACGGTGGCGGTGGGGCAGGTCCTGATCAGTGGCATGAAGATGATGCTCAATCTGACGGCACCCACAGACATGGCGAAGCCCGGTGCCGTGCCCAAGGTAATTCTGACGTGCCAGGTTCACGGCCGCTTGATACAATATTACCGAACAGACAAGCTCTCCGTTTGAGGTCATCGCCAGTGGACCCCTTATCCGCCCGAAGTGGCGAACAAGCTGAAACTTAAAGCGGCAGACGCGTTTGTCTTGGCGTCGCCGTGTGGTAACGTCGTGTTCGTTGTAAGACGCTGCAAGCCGCGCTGGTGGCGATGCTGAATTAAAGAGACACTAAAGTTTTAAAAAAGAGTTTTTCTAAAGGGCTTAATATTTGTTTTGTAAATTGTTCCACTAAAAAGAAAAGTTTTTTTTTTGTTTTTTTTTTGTGCAATATTTACGTTATTAGCCGCAATTCAGTTGGAGGTCACGGCACACTTGAAACACTCACCAGAAATCGGTGTCCCTGCCCCTTTATTACTAGATTGGCTTGGCTACTTGGCTGAACACGCTAAGAAGTCTAGTGTCTCCCTTTCGCGACATCCGGTGCGTCTAGTCTGACACTGCCTGCTAGTCGTGTGAGCAGACGCGCGACAGCCTCAGGCATCGTTTGATATCTCACTACCGACTATCGTCGCCTGCAGTGCTTGTGAGACGCGGACAACAAACCTGCGCGTCGGCGTCCGTTTTCGCCTCCGTTCGTCTGCTATTGCGGCCCCGTCTAAAAACGTCGGCACCGCTTGCAAGACGCGACCATGAAAGGGGCGTTCTAGCGTTCCACCATTCACGAGCCACGGTCCAATACCAGCGTCTGTCGGCGCCTGTCGATGTGCGTTAAAAAGCGACCGAGAGTACTAGAAAAAGGAGCAAAATAAATAGGCAGTCTTTTCAGCTTATTGGTTGTTATTTTTTCGCATGGCATCCGCGAGCAGGCTGGGTGAGCGTCGTGACGCACAACTAAAACGCGACCTAAAAATATTCTCATGGGCAGGGCAGGTGCACTGCACAAGGCATAGAGCTACTTTCCTTTCGAAATAAAATGACGGAAACAAACCTGGAGAAACTTGATGCGAGCCGAACGCCCCATTGCCTCTAGCTAAATCGCTTGTTAAGTTCTTACATGTGTATAGTCGATGACAGGTCAAGAACCAAGTGGAAGCTCCTCCCACCCCTTTCAAGTTCAGCCTAGCGAACGGTGTAGAAGAGGTCGCCTTTTATCCCGCATCCGCTCTACTAAAGTGGAAAGTGGCGGGAGCTTCCACTTCGTTCTTGACCTGTCATTGACTATAGGTGTCTTTTTGGTACTGAAACCATGGTTGCAATAAAAACGGTCGCACAATTCACAGAGCAGCGGGGCCTCTTCTACGGGAACCAATATTTTTATTCAACATAAACACACTCAAATGAACAAATCAAGCCAGATCAAACCAACATAGTTAAAGTGGGACGCTAGGCTTAGGCCAGTCCCGCTACCGCCCGCTACAAGCCCAAGCATCCGCACAGCGCCAGCAGCGCTTCGGAAAGCGTACACTTGCGACGGTTGTTTGCTGCAAACTAGATCCGTTGAGTAGATCTTCGTCTAAACACATCGGTGAACGCAGGGCGACTCGCACTCATTAAAATAGACGAGCTCGACGAGCTGCTCTCCTTATTCTTCCGCAAACGCTGGCAGCCATGTTTGTTATCGTTTGAAATCGAAGTGGAAAGGCAATCTCAAGATATGTTTTGAAAAAAAAAATACTATATTGATTAGTTGCTTCTCAAACATAAAAGAAATAGTCAATTAAAAATGCCATTATGGTTCGGAGGTACAAATTGTTAACTGTTAAGGATTTGTCTTTGTCGACGACTTTATCTTGTATACTTAATCTTAGCACATGTTTAGGCCACATTGGTCAATGGTGCAATATCTGGCAAATGCCATTAAACTTAGTTAAAACCGTTTGTATGACTATTACTCCCAAAACAAAGCCCATTCAATTTGGGTACACCATCGAAGGGTATTTACTAGTAAGGGTAAGCAGTTACAAATATCTGGGCGTCATTATTTCTCCCGATCTCCGTTGAAGTGCTCATATTGATAGCATTGTATAAAAAAAAATCGAATTATAAACTGTGGTATTTAAGGCGGTCTTTGAAACTAAGTTAAACGAACGGAAAACTTTTGGCTTATAAAACACTCATTCGTCCGATGATGGAATGCGCATGCGAAATTTGGGATCCTTATATTGTAAAAGATGTGCTAAAGCTAGAAAAGTTGAAACGACTTGCTTTACGTTTCATTTTTTCCACATATCGTCGACTGGACTCACCTACAGCACTGTATTCAAAAGCCAACATTCCATTACTTAAGATGAGGCGAAAAAAAAAAGATTGCAGTTTTTATATAGGAATATTATTGGCTTATTGCAGATAGATAAAACAGCTTAGCTAGTTACTGACCGAGTCGAGAATAACTCGGAACAAACACAGTCGCGCACTTCATCAGCCCCGGTTCTTCAAGGACTGTTTCAGATACTTATTCTTTCCACAAACCATAAGTGACTGGAATCTTCGTTCGGAGCAAGCTGTGGTATGCCAATCACTTGAAGATTTTTCTTCTTATAAATAGCATCTTGCGAAATGTGAACTAAAATGTTTTTTTTTGTATTGTTTCCTGCCAACGCATTATAACCATGACGAATCTAATTTTTAATTTTAATTGTAAAAGCATTTTTTGTGATTATTTGGTGATATCTATTATAATACCTTTACAAGTGTGTGCGGCTCTTGTTGTTTTCTTTGTACACTTGTATACCCACCCTATCATAGTCTCAATAGAGACTGTTAGTATTTTGAAATAAATAAAAATTTACAACCAGCTTTTCAAACGTCGATCATCTCTCCAGCCAATGAGAGATGTAAGCACCTTTTAAGCAGGGAGCGGAATTTAGCGGGCTGCAACTTTCACATTTTGCAGCTAAATTGCGTCTAAAGGCGTAAATATTGATCCAAAACAAGAAACTTTTTAGTTGAAAAAAGAAAAAAACATTAAAAACTTTTTTCTTTTCACTTCACTGTTTCTTAAGGTGTGGGCGGCACTGCGGGGATTCACTAGGGAAGCCGTTTTTGGAGAGAACGGCGCAGCTTCTAGGTGGCTTGAGCAACAACCCGAATGTTTGTCGAGCCATTGCTTATGCCGAGCCCAAATCTAGCGCTCACTCAATGCTCGGGTCCAGTCTATGAGCCGCATTCAAATATCGTCACTATGAATATATATACCACCAGTGCGAGCTCCAAACTACGTCATAAAGTTTTGCGAAGGAGAGACTGAAAGAAATAGTTCGCTTTTATTCTTTAAATTACACCGCGATTAATAGGCTCATGGGTTAGTGGCGTTACTTGCGCGTATACATGGGCCACACTAGGGTTAGCCACCTTGTTTAAAGTAACATTAGGACCCATTATCGTTGAACTATCCTATTAAGCTCACATGCCAGCGAAGGAGAAAAGCACGAAGATAAATAGTTCGCTTGTATTCTTTAAATTACACCGCGATAAATAGGCTCGTGGGTTAGTGGTAGTGCTTGCGAGTATACATGGGTCACACTAGGGCTAGTAACCTTGTTTAATGTAACATTAGCACCCATTATCGTTGAACTGCCCGATTAAGCTCACACTGCAGCGAAGGAGACAAGCGCACAGCTATGTGAACGCGTCAAATTTGAAACGGACCTTTTGTGAAAGGAGCGCTCTTTTCGGGAGAGCACGTTTGAAGACAGCGATCTCGTGCCTGTATATAGTATTTTCTGGCCCATCAGCTTAATGGTGAACGGAATATAGAGCGGAACTTTGCGCAAATGATCTTTCATTGATAATCATTTCATGAGAAATGTAATGAGGTTTCGAGCTGTATTCTAGACCGTTGTTACTATGTTCGCCACTCCAACGCCTTATAGGTGGCGGGGCAGTAGTTCCAAGATGGCGGAAGAGACGGGGATAGATTCTCCAGGTTTTCCAGCGCGCCTGCTCGCTGACGCTGGTCAACGCTCTAAAAATGATATATTTGTCTACAAATGCGAATCGGTTAAGTCAGGATCATATTACAGGTCATTGAGATGTTGATGCGCGTTGGGAAAACGAGCATGCTGATATTTAAAAGTTGCAGAAACCTCAAGCTCAGCTTGCGAAGCTTTGTGGTGGGCACTGGCCACGTCACTGTTTGTTGCAGAATATTTTTCAGAAAGATCAAGACATCGCGTTAGCCCCTTGCCTGGCCATTAGGGCTCTAAAGAGTGAGTCGCGCACTGTGACTGTCAAGCTTCGGAAGAGCAGCGTTCACAATTTTAATGTCTTCGTGTCACACGCTCGCAACGAGCTGCTCACCGTCTCGGTTTTAGTGTATTGCAGCGCGTGATCAAACTGCTATATGGTTATTGATAGGAAGTATGTTACCGCAGGCCACCGTGCGTTATAGCATTACAACCGAAGCTTGCGCTGCGCCTTTGAAGCACCATTTTTAGCGCGCGCCAGGAGCGTTGCCGTGCTCACGGTATAGCCAATGGTAGCCTGCGGTAACGCTATGCTAGAAGTGTCTATTAACATAATCGGCGTGTTTAGGAGTTTTATTGATTGCCCTATCAAAAGTAAATATTTTAATATACCGTGCATTTTTGTACCGTGTTATTTGCAACGTTGCGGCCCCTTTCACCAAAACTGCCCCTTATAAGCTCTCTTTCGAACGGTTGGCTAACAGAGACGCGCTTAAAATGCTTCGAGCATTTCTTAATTTGCTTTGTAATTACCTAAAAGCAACTGCGGGTATTCTGTCTTTTGAAAGTGCTTGGAATAAATGGGTATGTTCTCTGTAACGGCCTTAAAACGCGAACCACTTCCCGATGCGTATTGCTCGACATACCGTTGCTCGGCGGGTTTTCTCCGACTTATGGAGAAGAATATACTTTCGTGGATCGTACTGTAAAGCTCTATATTATTAGCGGGAGCGTTTGCCGTCACTTTGAGCACAGATTGAGCTAGCGGCCATGCACAAGACCAAAAATCCGTAGAGTATCCGATATACGAAAAGTCCCGAATGGAATTTTTGGGATTCCCCTTTGTGGGGTGTACCACTTCGAAACACAAAAGGTTCCTTGGGTTCGGATAAAGACGTGTTTATTGACTGAAACGCCAACACGCTTCGCTCTTAGACAATGAAAAGTCCGGGCGCCCCGTGAATCATTAGACAGATTCACGGGAAGTCGGAGACCCACAAAGAAAACCCGAGTTCCGTAGAGCCAGGGCCTCCGCCGACGAGAGCCTCTGGCCCTCCTTCGGGGCCAGCTTATGTAGCCTCGGAGAATGGACGCGCCCGGGGAGGCCGCTGGCAGTCGTGTCCATTATAACTCTCAAGGGTGTGCCGAAGGCGCGCTCACCCAAAATGGGCAACGGAGAGCCGGCCCCTTCGGGGAATTCGGCCTCGTGGTTCCTTGTATCCGGGAGGCCGACGCCATTGGTGACGACGACTCCCACGGCCTGCTTGAAGCTAGGCCTGGGTAGGGATAGAAGGAACCCCATGGTTCCCACAAATTCGACATCCCGATCCTTCGTGCAACGCTGTTGCAAGGCGGAGCACAAGAATTTTTGTTTTAACACGATCACTTTTTTCGTTAAAGGGCATCTCCGCCGTAACTTTGATGGTCACCGATTTCTATAAAATTTTCACCGTGTATTTGGATGCCCTTCCTGAGCATGTGTACAAAATATCTCGGAAAAATATTAATTTTTTTAGAAGAAAATGAATTTTGAAATTTACATGTACACACCCAAATCACTTGCTGCAGCCCTACTGGCAACACTGAGCAAGAGTGGCACACGGAGGCTGCCATGATGGCGCTGACGTTGCCGTGACGTCACATGTTGGTCAGGGTGCTTGCTTTTTAGCTAGTTGGTGCTAGCGACTGTCTGCTTTTTGCTTATGTTATCGGTTTATACAGTTATGTAAGAGCGCGTAATGGCGACTGGAGGAAATTGGTGTTGTGGGTGGAAGCGTCGCTTGAAAACACGGTCTACTAAAACCGTCTATTGTCAGACCCCAAGATATAACAAAAAGTGCCTCCAATTAAAAAGCATAACGTCGATCAGTTTTTTTTTTTTTTTTTTTTTTTTTTTGGCGTGCTAGCAACAAAAGTTGCCTTACCATTCCGCCTCGGAAGCGGCATCTGGGTCCACATGGCGGCGGATCACGAATGCAGCCGCCGCTGGCGGTTTTCTCGGAGCCGATGCCGGCGGATCGTATGAGAACGGGTTATCGTCATAGTCCTCAACATCTAGCAGCATATCCTCATCGTTGCTCGATTCAGACGAGCCTGATGAGTCCATTTTTATCAGCGGCACGAACACAAAACAGTGACCTGCTGCCTGGCTGGCCAGGCTCAAACTGCACACGTGCGAGTGTTTATACCATATGTGACGTCACGTCAAAATGGCGGACCAGTCGAGTGGCAAGTTAGTTTCGGTATCGGTTTCAGCGTATTTTAACGATTATAAATTATGTAAACAGTTTTTTCATGATTTAACCGCTGCTATAGGTTAATATTTGAGTACCCTTTCCGAAAACATGTTTTGATAAAAACGCTCAAATTGACGGCGGAGCTGCCCTTTAAAACGGCTTTACGTATCAAGACCGACAGTCCCTGTCACCGTTTCTGCGCCGCCGCCGCCGCTGCCGTCCCCGCTCCACTGGTTCTCCGTTCGTCCGCGAGAGGGCGAGCGGTGGGCTGGAGTTGCGAATATAATGAAGATCATGCAGAAATCTAAAACGTAGACATTCCCGCCTTTGTTGCAAAGGCTTGCGACCGAACAGGAACTTTATTTAGGCAATACAACCACGGTCGCTAGAAGTTGACTCTCGCAAACGATCGCGTGCAGTGTTAATTACATTCACTTACTGTCAATATTTAACCGCGACCAGCTCGATACATGCCTATTGCTTAGAGTCGAGGTCAGTTTGTTGTGCTATTGTACAGTCTAAGTTGAAGCTTTGAACGAAAGCTGAGTAGGCCACGTAAACTCACATGGATGTTCAAACTATCTTGACTATCAAAAATCAGTGTGATTTCAATACATTTGTTTGATTTTTTTGCCAGATGGAGGACACCTGCACGAGTGCCGAAACGATTGTGGCCAACATGGCTCACGTTGCCGAAAGCGTCACACGTGTCGTCGACACCATCGACTCAGATCGTGGAATGCGAGTGGACGACTACGAAATTTGGATGCGCGACTCCAAGCGTCAGGGGTATCTTGGCTCCGAGTACGGCACCAAGGTTCGAATCAACGGCGCGGTGAACCAGCTCACGACCATTGTGTTTCCCTCGAATCCCTTCAATTGCGGCAACTCGAGTCGGTTCTCCAACACACAGGCCGTGCTAATCGACGTAAAAAACGGAACCGACGGTTCCTTGCAATTCTCGAGATCAGGAGTGAATATCGTCTTGAAGAGACCGGAGGCCCTTGTCTTCGAGGATATAAACGACACGTTTCACACCTCGTTCGCTAACGTGTCCATCCATACGATTGTTGTAACGCAGCCCGGGGCTTATGTCAAGATCGAGGTTGCGCCAGTGAATGACGAAAATCAATTCATAACGGCCGTCACCATGAACCGATTGCCGACCAGCCAAGATTTTCTGAAACAAAACCTGCGAAATCTGCTGTTTCACGTTCCGAGAGAGGTGAGGTTCGTATCGGTGCCGGATAGAGGAACGCTCACGCTCGCCGTTTATCCCCTCACGAATGAAACCAAGCACAAACTCCAAGACCGCCTATACAAATCATCGGAAGACTTCATAAATGTATCTTACACTTTACGATCGGCAACGTACAGCTGCCTGCTGTGGAACTCCACACGACAGACCTGGGCGACTTCGGGGTGCAGAGTGCTGCACTTCTCGGACGACCAGTACGTTCGGTGTGCTTGCGATCATGCCTCCGTGTTCACGGGTGGACTGTTCATTGCTCCACATCCGATTGACTTTACCAACTTGGAGTTCCTTTTTCAAGGCATGTCCAGCAACCTCGTCATGACCATCGTCGTTGCCATTGTGTGGGTGCTATACGGCGTTGTTATGGTTTGGTCTTTCCAGCAAGACGCGAGAGATGAAGGTGCCGCTGGTATAGAATACTTGTCCGAGAACAATCCGAACGACGCTTTCGGCTACCTACTTTCTTTTTACACTTGGTTTCGCAGTGGCGCAGGGACCTCAAGTAAGGTCAGCATCAAGATTCACGGTTCACAGGATGACTCCAGGACCGTAGTGATCCGGGACGGCGGCAAAAACCCATTTGCTCTTCAAGCTGGAGGAAGAGATTGGTACTTCCTGAGCCATCCGACCTCCCTTGGGACTGTTGAGACAATTGATATTACAGTCGATCAAAAAGGAAAAAATCCGCCCTGGACGTTGAACACCGTTGTAATCAGAGACCTTCAAACATCGTCAAGGACCATATTTTTGATTGACAAGAAACTTCGACCGGATACGGAAACAGGCACGTCAACGTTCACCTTTGAACCGACCAGTGCGTCTGTTTTGCGTTCCCCGTTGAGGATCTTTAAGGCTAGGGTCATCCGGTACTTCCGAGAAGACCATCTCATCTTTAGCATCTTTAGCCGATTACCTACCGGAAACTTTACTCGAAAGCAACGCGCATCGGTGGCGCTCCTGCTGGTAGTTTCCGGAATGATGGTCTGCTTGATGTTCTACGGGTTGAATGCGGACGAAGACGAGATATTTCGTTCCGATATCTTCTACACTCTCTTGGAAGTACCGCCGTTAAGTGAGGTCATCATCGCCATGCAGTCATCGGCAATCGTAACCCCTTTCGTGCTCCTAGTGCTCTTCCTCTTTGAAAGATCAAGACCGCCATTCCTACACCGCAAGTCTATCGTGCCCAAAGTAGCGGTGGATGGTTCAGTCCAGGAATGGCTCGACGACGACGCAAAATCGGCGTCCTCTTCTCCCACGGGGAAGGTACCCAAAGAACTGCTGACAAACAGCGCGACAAACTACATCTTTCCAAAATGGGCTTCAATCACTGCCTGGGTTCTTTGCATAGGAGGTTCGATCATCATCTCCATCTTCATTATCCTCTATGGATTGACCTACGGGTACTACCGCAGCCTATCCTGGTTGCGCTGCAACATGTTCAACGTCATCGTCACGGAGTTCATAGTCCACCCGGTAAAGCTGATTGTGATGTCCGCCGTTATGGCCGGAATCTTCAGAACTCCTTTAGAGATGGAAAACATACCGCTAAGATTCATCGAGTAGTCTGATAGGTAAATCTAAGGCCGAGGCTATGCTCGGTGTCTTCGAATACAAACCTACTCCCTCCTTTGCAGTGGTATTCATTTAAGCTTTGACATTTGTTACAGGAACTACGCCACTTTGTGTAGGTCTAGCTACTACGCATCTACATAAACGTAGGAGTGGCACCATCTATGTACTCTTAACACCACGTAGTGTAAGAATCGTTTTTTTTTTTCCTGCAGCAGAGCAGTTGAATGTTTTAGATGCGGAGCATCTCTTGCTCGGGTCTATGTCCCGCGGCGTCGTAGTCCGCACTCACACTACGCATGCGCAACTCTCCTCCTTCCCTCTCTCCAACAGCTGCGCGTTACTCTCTCCGCTCTCTCTCTCTACCAGCTGCGTGCACTTCGCGTGCGTTCGCTTCTACTCACACCGCGCGCGCATGCGCAACTCTCCTCCTCTAGTCTCCTCTCCTTCAAGTGTGAATATAGACGCTTTAATCACGCGCCAGATTGAGCCGCCATAGCCGACCTTCTCTTGTTTTACCGAAATGACGAGTCACTGAAGCGGGCATTGACGAGCCTCCACAGAGGCCTATGCAGGGGAGAAGGACGCAGTAGCACCTAAAGTGGCGATAACGTGCCCTGCAGTAGCAATAATAAAGTGAAGCGAACGGAATAAGAGGAAACAAGAACTGAAGGTCGGTTATGGCGGCGCCCATGCACAGCTGCTTGAAAGCGTCTATAAGCAGCGGTAGCGCGCTGCGCGCGTTCAAGGGGAGGAAGTGGCCGAGTGGGCTAACGCGTGTCAGCTTGGAGCGTGGAGCGAAAGCTTGCGCTGGGAACCTCCTGGGTTCGAGTCCCCGCCGCCCCCGCCCGTTTCGATCTGGATGAGTTTCGTACCGGCACGCGTTTGTGTGATCACTACTGCGTGATGCACGTTAAAAATCCCAGGTTAGCGGTTGTACTGCACTGGCTAAATTTCTCATCTACAGCTAAGAGACCGATTACCCGTTGAGGCGCATCTCCATCAAGGCTGTATAAACATAAAGAGCAAACCAATTTCTGCGCGCGTTCAGTTCACCGCTGTTGACTCCACTTCACTCCGTTCTTCCGATGAAGTGTGATGGAACGATGCCCCGCATCACCCCATGTTTCCCCTCGGGAAGATGGTGTAATTTTGTTTTTGTTCTTATCAGAGTTGTACAAAATTTGGTGCACTTTGAACTTAAGAGGGAAGGAGCGCAATCATGTGTGTAGCCAATAATTAACTAGGGGGAATACAGGACACCCTCCTAGCTTAGATTACATCGAAAAAGAGGACAACCGAGAACCGCGGAGACACTCATGATGGCGGCAGCGGTACCATCTTTGCATCCACGACCTCGTCAACCGCACCGCCTTCCGAGGTGTCGCCTGGCCACGTCCTCTGGTGACGAGAGGAGGAGGGGAGGGGGAGGGGGAGAAGCGTCGCCAAATAAATCACTCCTCCAGGGAAGGGTTCGGCGCAGCCGTCGTCTTGTCTAGTGCAAATGAGAGGAGTGTCCTGTATTCCCCTTGTAAAGTATTTGTGTCTCGCCACAAGCAGGCCTTATGCTATGTGTTCACACTACGAACGCAACGCGCTGATCTTTCATAACACGCACAAACCTAAGCGCAACAAGCGGAACGTGTTCGTTCCGACCACAATTGCTTGTAGCCTGAACGAAATTGTTCCGCTTCTTGGGCTTACGTTTGCGAGTGCTATGAAAGATCGGCACGTTGCGCCCGAGTATGAACATATTATTTGGAGCAGACACTAACCTTGCTTGATGCGAAGTCTGACAATTTTCTTCACGTTTGCATATGACCTCGTGCTTGAACTCCATTATATGCCTTTTTCCGTGGCGCCACTGTATTTAGGATATACCTGCACCTTGTCCCACCTTGTTGTTTTGTGCATTCTGTGCTTTGTTTAAGAATTTGTGACGACACCGCAATAGTGTTCCTCATTATTTCTTCTTTAAGGAAATCGTGCATTGTCTTGAATATGCATTGGCTTGAAAAGTTTTGCTCGTGTTCAGGCGGAGCCTGCGGAAAATAGATCGATTGAAACACGGCAGCGCGCCGAGCAGAACCTCTGACCCCAGCACGCGGAAAAATAACCAGTCTCTAGGAACGCTCTTAACACGTTGCAGAAAAAGGCAATATATATACGGTGGTCCAAGTGATTAGGCTCCTTCTAAATGGGACTGTAAAAATCGACGCTTGCACGTAGCAATCTAAACTTTTCGTCAAAGGTGTATTTCATAAGTCGGATTTGTCATGTAAAATTACAAAGCGTAGTTCTGTGTCTGTAAAAAATGAGGTGAAGAAACTTGCCTGGGTCAACAGCGGGCGGTGACGCAGACGACCGATTCGGTCAAAGCTCTGGTTTCGGTTTGCTTTTAAAGAAATATCGAAAGTGCCCGCGTCGACCATGGTTTATTAACACGAACATAATATTTTTTATAATCTACCTTTGGCTTGAAAATAAATGGAGACAATGATAGCAAAACTTCAAGTAACAAAAATAAAAGAACGCGGTTGCATAACGACGGCGCTGACGGCGCTCTTGCTGCCGGCGGATTTCGTCTGCGTGTCGTCTGCTTCCTTTCGCTGGTCGGTTTCATCCTCCGACGCTGCTTCTGAGACCTTTTTTTGTCGCGGTTGGTGGGAAAACAGCCAAAATGCGTCACTTGAGGTTAGCTTTGTAAACCACGGTCGACGCGGGACAGGCGCTACTATCAACTGATTTATTGCAAGACCGTTCAACGCTTATAGGCATAGCTCATCTGCCTTTTAATGATACAGCTATCGCTTTTCCCTTTCGCGCAATATGCGCGAAAAAGTCATATTTTCTTATTTTATTTGTAAGACTCTGTCCCGGGCAGTCAGTTTCCATAATCACATTTTATTTATCTGAATACATATTTAAATATCGTCCTTTTACGCTATAAAGTCCTAATTTACGCAGTGGTGTTTAAAGGGACACTGAACCGAACTTGAAATTTTGCAAAATAAGGCCACAGAAGCGTTGAGCGGGATGCTGTAAGCTCTAAAACATCACTCATACATCGATATCTGAAACGGATAGGCGCACTTTTGGAAAAGATGGGTGCGATCAAGCGAGGGCTATGCCGTCATTGTCCCCCTGGAAAATCGGAGAATAAGAAGAAGTGGCCTTGATTCTCTCCTCCTCGCTTCGGTCCACCAGCTCGACGAAGCCGTAGCGCTGTTCTCGTGACGTCACAAAGGAAGGCCATCGGGGCGTGTCGAAGCGAAGGCAACGCGCGTGGATCGACCGTCGTAACACGCTTTTCGTCACATACGCGTGTCCTATTAGCTAAAACGAAAGCTGCACATTGCAACGGGTCTAATACCCTCGTTACACGGGCGCACTTATCTGCAGTTACGCTAAGCCACAGTTAGCGCACAATATTTGCGGACAACATTCTGCGGCTATGCAGTCAAAGCTATGGGCGAACGTGCACTTGAGCATCTGGAGCACCCATCGAAGCAGTGCATGTGCGCTCATCACTACTTCTGAAATAGCTGCCCGAGAGCATAGTGCGGTAACTGTGGTGCCACGTAACAGCAGTTAAAGCTGAGTTAACCACGGTTAAGGGTGCCCGTGTAACAGGGGTATAAGAAACACTTTATTACACTGGCAAAACATTACACCGCTAAATAATCGATGTGAGATGGCACGAGGTATGCGTAGAAGACGTCTATAGAAAAATGTGATTGTTTTAAGTAGAAAATATTGAGTCACGCAATTATTGCTCTAGAAATGCATATTTTATACAGATATATTTCGACAAAATGGCGAGACACGCAATGATTGAACACAGCAATACAGATCAGGTAAAAATCAGGTAGACGTAGCCAACGCGGACACGGCTCAAAAAGTGTCACGATCATGTAAGCAAGCAAAGCAAATTAAGTTATGGGGATATATGCAGCGTGTAGTTGGTCAGCCATTGAAAGTTGCGACGAGTCACACGCTGTAGATGAGCAATTAATGGCGAATTCCACTGGGCGTTTTGGAGCGCGCCGGGATCAGTCGACCAGATCCGGATTGGAGCACAAGATCCGAACGGGGTCGCGCCGCCTACGGATCCCCAGTGGAACATGACCACTGCTCCGGGATCGGCGGATGCCTTCCCGTCATTCAACTGCCCGGGAATCCCCTTTTCGCGGCCGCCGCGGTCGTTTCGAAGACGTTTTCGCTACGCGGCGCTAACACGTGTTCGACGCACGAGCGGCAGGAATGGCTCAGGCGCTTCTAGCAAAGATTGCCGGAATGCCCGTAGCGCGGCAAATACCTTCTCTTCTCCTTCCTGGAAAACGAACCGGCTGTCGAGCCAATAGGTAAGCAAGCGGCCATTACGAATTCTTCTGATGTCGAGAAAATCTAGGAGCCCAGCCCGCGACGTGAGTCTTCTTCTTCTTCTGAGGCGAGATGCCCCACGAGAAAAGAAGTCACGTGTGTTCGCCGAGGGCTGGCCCGGCTGGCTTCCGGTTAAATCTGCCGAAATCGTGGGAGCGACCTTTCTCGTGGCGAATTCCACGGATCGTTTTGGAGCGCGCCGGGATAGACTTTTCCGGAGCGAGCCTATTTCGCTGGGCGATCGAGATCGAGACGGACGTGTTCCACTGGTCGTTTTGGATTAGCTCCCGCTCCAGATCTCGATCTGGATCACTCTGGATCCAAAAAAATCGCTCCCCCGATTTTGGCGGATTCAACCGGAAGCCAGCCGGGTCAGCCCTCGGCGCACACACGTGACTTCCTTTCTCGCGGGCATCTCGCCTGATCTCGCCTCAGAAGAAATGGTAATGGCCGCTTGCTTACCCCTTGGCTCGGCAGCCTGTTCGTTTTCCAGGTAGGAGAAGAGAAGGTATTTGCCGGCGCTACGGGGCATTCCGGCAATCTTTGCTAGACGCTCCTGAGCCATTCCTGCCGCTCGTGCGTCGAACACGTGTTAGCGCCGCGATTGCGAA